AACCTTGTCTAGGCATTTACCTTTTCACAGGTAGTAGGTCTTTTAGAAAGCTAAGGTGTCTTCATTGTCCATTCAATATCAAGTCAGTTCAGAGTACTTTGCATTTCAACAATGATAAATATATTGTTGCCGGAGAAACTCCTTCCATCCCAACAGCTGAAGGGGGCAGAAACAGGTGATAGAAGGTCTTGGACTGATCCCATCTATCCAGGCTAGCTGCTGGACAGCAAGAAAGATCTGTCCCAGTCACATTGCTTGAGCAGCATAATGTCTCTACTAATTAAGAAAGAAAAGTGTTGGTCTTGCTTTCCTGTGAACTCTGGCTCCATTCCACCAATGGTGAAGAGAGGAGATGGTGATAAATTGATGTTAAAGGTCTAGAATAACAGGCATCAACCAAGAAACTGGATCTTTAGCACTAGTAGAGAGGTATGCAGGTTGCTCAAATGTAAATGCTTCCCAAACAACCTTGCATACTACCTCTGTCCATCACATTTTAAATTGTTATCTTGCTATTTTCTGTTAAAGATCAAGTAAGTTTGAGCCAAGGACAGAACAAGGAGTTAAGAGGAATTATGTGGCCATGGGCTGTTTGTGCTAATCCAGAAGCCATGGAAAAGACTCACAGTCAGGGCCAGTGGGCAAACCAGGAGTCAGGGTTGAAAAGTCAGAACCAAAGAATAAGCAAACTCCTCAAGCCAAGTGGCTGCAAGAGATACACCTTCGAGTCCAATAAACCTAGAACCAGCCCACTTAATTTAAAAGATATTCCCAATCGTTTGGGCATTGCAGGACTCTGGGTGTTCTAGCACTGTTGGAACCTCACATCTGAAAGCCAGTGTGGCGTAGTAGGTTTTGCTCCCAGCCAGAAGGTGCCAGGGAGTCTTGTCAGTCGCCCCTCGGGCCTGACGGTGCTGTTGTTTAATGCCAGGTCGGCCAATAACAAATCTGCCCTCATCCATGACTTGATTGTGGATGAGGGGGCTGACCTGGCCTGTATAACGGAGACCTGGGCGGGAGAGGGGGGGGATGTTGCCCTCTCTCAATTGTGCCCGCCCGGGTATATGGTCCAGCACTGTTCACGGCCGGAGGGGAGGGGAGGGGGGGTCGCTTTGGTTTACCGGGCCTCCATCACTCTCACGGGACTTCCTGTCCCTTCGAGACCAGGGCTAGAGTGTCTCTACTTGGTGTTGGGCGACCGAGACAGATTGGGGATTCTGTTGGTGTACCGTGCACCCTTCTGCCCAACAGTCTCCCTGCCTGAGCTGACGGAAACGGTCTCGGACCTGGTGTTGAGGACCCCCAGGATGCTGGTCCTGGGGGACTTCAATATCCATGCCGAGGCTAGTTTGACCGGGGCGGCTCAGGACTTCATGGCTTCCATGACGGCCATGGGGCTGTCTCAACATGTCACCGGCCCGACCCATGAACGTGGACACACTCTGGACCTGGTTTTCTCGATGGGGCAGGAAGAGGGTGGTCTGAGGGTGAGGAATTTATGCTTGACTCCCCTGTCATGGTCAGATCACTTCCTAGTGAGGTTTGTGCTCGAGAGCGACATCTCCCTCTGTAAGGGTGCAGACCCGATTGTGTGGGTCCGCCCCCGGAGCCGGATGGATCCGGAAGGATTCCTGAAGGCTCTGGGGGAGTTTCCGGCTGACAAGACGGGTGCTCCTGTCGAGGCTCTGGTTGAACTGTGGAATGGGGAGATGACCAGGGCTGTAGACACGATCGCTCCTAAGCGTCCTCTCCCACCGGGCAGAGCCCGCTCTTCCCCTTGGTACACTCCAGAATTGAGGGCAATGAAGCAGGTTGGGAGACGGCTAGAGCGTAGGTGGAGGAAATCACGTGATGAATCTGACCGAACACACTTAAGAGCCCACTATCGGGCCTATGCTGTGGCGGTGAGGGCGGCGAAAAAGAGACACTTCTCCGCTTCCATTGCCTCCTCACAATGCCGTCCGGCGGAGCTCTTTCGAGTGGTGCAAGGCCTGGTTCACCCAGGGCCAAAGGAAGAGCTGATTCCACCCTCAAAGGCCCGCTGTGACGACTTTGCCGAGCATTTTAGGGAGAAAATCGCTCAGATTCGTCACGAGCTGGATTCCACTATTGATTCAGAGGTTTTAAGGGAGACACCAATGCTGCCGTCTGGTCCAGAATTATTGGATGAATTTCAGTTATTGCGGCCCGATGATGTGGACAAGGTGCTTGGACGAGTACGTCCTACCACTTGCCTTCTGGACCCTTGCCCGTCTTGGTTAATAAAGGATTCCAAGCACGGGATTGGAACCTGGATCTTGGAAGTGGTTAACGCTTCTCTGAGGGAGGGTCGGGTGCCTGCCCCTTTAAAGGAGGCAGTAGTCCGACCGGTCCTGAAGAAGGCGTCACTGGATCCAGGGATGGCCGCTAACTATAGACCAGTGGCCAACATCCCGTTTCTGGGCAAGGTGTTAGAGCGAGTGGTGGCGGGACAACTCCAAGCACTCTTGGATGAAACTGATTATCTGGACCCATTTCAGTCCGGCTTCAGACCCGGGTACGGTACTGAATCTGCCTTGGTCGCCCTGTACGATGACCTGTGCAGGGAGAAGGACAGGGGGAGTGCGTCCCTGTTGGTTCTCCTGGACCTCTCAGCGGCTTTCGATACCATCGACCATGGTATCCTTCTGGATAGGCTGGCGGGATTGGGGGTCGGAGGCACCGCTTTGCGGTGGTTCCGCTCCTATCTCAACGACCGACTCCAGAAGGTGGTGTTGGGGGACTATGGCTCTGCGCCATGGCAGCTTTGCCATGGGGTACCGCAGGGTTCCATTTTGTCCCCTTTACTGTTCAATATCTACATGAAACCGCTGGGAGAGGTCATCAGGAGGTGTGGGCTGCGGACCCATCAGTATGCTGATGATACCCAGCTCTACCTCTCGTTTTCCACCAATCCAGGTGAGGCAGTGGCTGTACTGAACCGGTGCCTGGCCGAGGTAATGGGCTGGATGAGGGCCAATAAACTGAAGCTCAATCCAGACAAGACGGAGGTCCTGTTGGTTGGCGGTTCGGGCTTCGGAGAAGGTGACCTGAACCTTGTCCTGAATGGGGTTGCACTCCCTCCTAGGGACAAGGTCCGCAGCTTGGGAGTGCTCCTCGACCCGGAGCTTTCACTTGAAGCTCAGGTGACAACAGCGGCGAGGAGCGCTTTCCTCCAGCTTCGGCTGATTCATCAGCTGCGCCCCTACCTGGAGTACGACTGCCTTGCAACAGTGACTCATGCGCTGGTGACTTCCCGTCTTGACTTCTGTAACGCGCTCTACGTGGGGCTACCCTTGAAGACGGTCCGGATACTTCAATTGGTTCAGAATAGAGCTGCCAGGCTGCTGACGGGGACTGGACGTTATGTTCACATGACGCCAGTTCTCCGTCAGCTTCACTGGCTCCCCATTGAAGTCCGGGCCCAATTCAAGGTGTTGGTAATGACCTATAAAGCCCTAAACGGCTTGGGTCCTGGTTACCTGAAGGAGCGCTTACATCCATATTTGCCCAGTCGCCCCCTGAGATCGGCGGGAGAGGCCCTTCTCCGGGAGCCCTCCGTGAGAGAAATTAGGAGGGTGGTTACTCGGAGAAGGGCTTTCTCAGCGGTGGCGCCTAAGTTATGGAATGCGCTCCCCAGAGAGGTCCGCCTGGCGCCGTCGTTATTTGTTTTTCGGCGCCAGGCTAAGACCTTTTTATTTAAGCAACATTTTAAATGCTAAATACAATTGAATTTTATCTGGCCAGGGCGGCTTATTTTATAATGTGAGTTTTAATTAAGATTATTTTATATGGATTTTAACTTGTTTTATCTATGTTGTAAGCCGCCCCGAGGCTTCGGCGAATGGGGCGGCATAAAAATGTTTTAATAAATAAAATAAATAAATAGTAGCCAGAGTGTTGGACTAGGACACAGGGGAGCCAATTGAACATCAGGGAAAAAAAAAATCTGACATCATCAGGAACTAATTCCCGAGTAATATGGCAATGGGACCAATTACGTAGAGATGTCATGGGCTTTCCCACAGTGGAGGTATTCAAGAAGCAACTGGACAGCCATATGTCAGGGTTGCTTTACCCAGAAGTCCTGCACTGAGCAAGGGGTTGGACCCAATTATCTGTTGGCCCCTTCAAACTCTACTATTTTGTGATTTCCCACTCAGCCATGATGCTCTCTATGTGACAGAGCCAGCCACTGGCTCCTAGCCTAAGCTACCTTGCATGGCTGTTATGAGGATAAAATGGAGAAGAGGAGTATATAAGCTGCCTTGGGTTCCTTGAAGGAAAAAAGGCAGGACAGAAATATTAAACCAACCAACCAACCAACCAGTGTTGGCTTCAGGCTTTTGAGGGCTTTGTGGGATGAGACCCTCAAGGGGACTCATCCATGCTCATCATCACCAGTTGCTCATCCTCTTTCTCAGGATGGCTTCCACTTGCTTCCTTGGAGAGGCAGAGAGCCAGTGAGCAGACAGTTGCGGCTTCTGTTCCTCCTCCTCACTTCCACCATTGTCCAGGCCAGAGCAAGAAGCAGATGGACAAGCAGGTTGTAATGATGAGGAGGAAGCCCCTGCTGGAGTGTGAACCCCTGTCAGATGCCCACCATTTATGCTGGCACTGCATAGGGGAGGAGGAGGGGGAGAGAGAGACAGAGAATGAGAATCATGTTTTTACCACAGCTGGAATACAAATTTCAGAGCAGGATCACCAAAAAAAAATCTACTTAGTAGCAGAAGCCAAACAGAACTCTAAAGCAAAGCTGAGATCAGCATTTTTAAAAACATGTTCACTCCTCCTCTGAGACTTGACACACTGTCATTGGTGCCATTAAACAGTGATGTCATCTAGTGGATTAAAACACCTAGGAGTATTTCTGGAGGATGAGTTGCCTTTCCAATAGATTTTTCTAATCAAGCAGGTGGAAAATAACTTCATGATTCCCAAGGCAAGCTTCCAATTCTGTAAGTTTGGTGGACTTTGTTGTTCTTTTTAAGATATCTGTATCTTCGAGTCAGTGAAACAGGGAGGGAAAATGGGAAAGAAAAGATCTGGTGGCTTGTACTTTGAAATTAGACAGTTCAAGTTATCTACTAAAACTCCAGAAGACTTATTTAAATTTTCTTTTTCTCTGTTAGTTTTAGCTAGAAAAATTCAGAAGGCCCTAACACTAACTGTGGCTGTTTGTTGTGTTTACACTATGTGGTGCTTAGGGGTTTTGGATTTTTTTTAGAGGTGTAATACAGTCATTTAGCCAAGTCTTGTTCATTTTCTCCTGCCAGTCACCTCTTGACTGAAGTTCTTTTCTGACTAGTAATTTGACCTACCAGTTGACAATTACAGAGTTCATATGACTAGGAAATATTGTTTACAGAGTTCTTTGAAATGATTGGGACGTCACTAGACAGCTGATTTATCAGCAGTATACAGAAGCCCTATCAGTTCTTAAACAATAGTTTCAATAGACAATTTAAAAAGTTCATGCCTTGGGTTTGTATCAGAAAGATGCAAAAGTGACTAAAACTACAGTACTACTGCAGTCAAAGCAATGGGAGTTTTGTCATTGACATCAACTGAAGCAAGATTTTCCAGTTTTACTACCTAACAAACCATAAGGAGCTTTAACCACTGACTACTCAAACATTGCTTACTTGGCAGCCTATTTTTTCCTGCCTGTACATTGCCGTTGATGGCTAGTATGGTCTGTTGAGCAATTCCCATGATGAAACAATACGAGGGTTGCTTTTAGCCTTGTTTAGATGTACTTCAAAGCATTTCACTTTTGACATGAGAAGGCAAAATGATGGAGCTGGCCATCATTAAATGTTGACACTGGAAATACTAATTATGGGCAATTCCACACACTGGAATGGTGGGCTTCTCTGAACCCCTGGAATTACATTGGAATCTGGATTTGGAGCATTCTAGGTAAGAAACAGATGAAGGAAAACCATGGCAGTACAATATTTTTAGGTTCTGTGGCATCACACTGGCACATTGAGAAGAATCTTATTTGCTTCTTTTGAAGACTGGATTTGCATTTTTAAAAGACTAGAGCACACACAATGGGCCAATGCCTGGTGATTTTTGGATCACTGTTAAAATTGCTCCACTGTTGACTAATACATGGTCTTTAAAAACTATCAGTGCTACCCATGACTTTTGTGCCTGGCCCTACTGTAATAAATATTAGCCTGAACATCCATTTTGTCTTGCCTGAATGATCAGAGATTAGACTTGTGAACAAAATGGATTAGAAAGAAGCTATTTGCCATCAGCACACAAGCCTCCTTGGTTGCAAGACAAATACAAGGGAAGGAGGACAGAGAAGATTAACTTGGAAGTCACCCGGAGGTGGGTTACCATCTGACAGCAGCATGCTAAGAACATTATTGTGGACAGATTACATTAGGTAAAATTATCCACCAACGTAAGCAAAGTCATTACACAATGGATCAACTCCTACACTAAATAAGGATCTGTCAGAGCCTATTAAGAAATACAGAACTTGAGGCTGGAGGAGGGAGTGAAGGTAGGAAGGAGGAGGATATTCAGTTGCCCAGCCGTTTTCCAGTTCTATATATCCACTAATTCTTGCACTGGTTCATACATTCCAAGGCTCTCCCTGTCTGCCCACCCCCACCCGACTATTTTAGTAGTGGAATGAATTGCTGTTACACATTCTCTGAAAGAGGTAAGTTTCTAAGGATTCCAAAAAGAGTTTGGAAGTAATATGTGGGGTAGGTAGTCAAAACTGAACTAGGAGTTGCATTTATACAATAGATAGAAGTCAGAGAATGGTCAAACTGAACAGATCAGTTTTCTTAATAAACTTTAGCATAGTATTTTCCTATATGGTAAATTCTACATAGAAAATCATTCTATGGTTCAGAATAGTTAGCAAAAGGCACTGTTGAAGAATTGATTGGCGCCTCTCTGATTTTGATGGGAAATTATTCCTACTATCCTGAGAATAGTTTAAGACTTTTAAAAGGGAAAAGGAAGACCGCTCTGCACTGGTTTGGAAAAGCCTGAAAAAGCAGTGAACCTTTAGGTGTATTCCAGATAGACAAGAAAGATATGTAGATAGGATGGTGGTAGGACAAAAACAATGATAATTCCTGACCTTGACTAGATCCCTCCATTCTGTTCCGTTCGGGTTCCATTCCTCCCTTTCTTTTAACACTGCGTCAGTGTTAAATAGCCTTGCTTGGTTCACAAATGGTTCACACTGTCAGCTACGTAGCTATGCTCTAATGTGATAACAATGTGTTGCAAACCCCAGAAATGGCAGTCCCTGGCTGTCCTCCCTGCTTCTTTTCTGACTATAGAGAAACAATACATGAAAAGCCAAGTCAGTGCAGAGAAATCAGGGACAAAACCACTTGCAAATAGCATTGTGTTCCAGTCTGTTCAGTGTATACTAGCTTTGTGATTAATATACTTTACATTATAAGGCAAACCAGAGTCTTGTTGCATGCCTTGCTGCCTTTTGTGGGCTCAAGCCCTGTCAGTGAAAAATTCCTATTTCTATTGAAGCCCCACTTTCAATGAAATCCAGTCAAAGCTTCTCAGAAGTATGCTATCTCTTTTTAACTATGTCGGTTCTTGGACTCTAGTATTCCAGTCACACATTTTTCTCACTGGAATGGCTTTCCTGTGGTCTGTTATGAGTTTTCTCTTGCCTTGTTTTGTTTAAACCATGGATGTAGTTGAGCATATGTACTCTGGGCATGCGTGATCAATATAAGAAATGAACATCCATAGAATAAAATTGATCAGAGTTTCACCCTTGCACCTCCCCCCCCTCGTTCTTTGCTGCTACATTAAATAACCCATCTGCACACAGGGAGAAAGCTAAGAGGTCTGTACTAATGCAAACTGGCACCATTCCACTGACTCCAGGAAAGAATTTGACCCTAGGATGGGATTCAGGAAATGAAAGGTTAAATTTAATTCTCCACTCTGCCACAAATTTCCATGATCAGATTGTTTAGTCTTTCCTCTTCAACTTCCTATCTGCAAAATAGAAATAACAAATCTTCCCTAACCCAACCATATCTGTTTGAAAACATACAGAATGCCTAAGCAGAAAATGCAGGGACTGGCTTTCTGTTCATAATTGACTAAGAAATCCTATACATCTTTACTTGGATAAAAAGCAGTGAATTCAGTGAGGCTTCCAAAATAGTTTTGCATGAGTTGGCAGCCTAAAACTGCTAACCATTGCACACGCACACAAGTCTCACTAAGGTTCAAATTGACTCACTTCTGAGTGAACACCCTTATAACTAGACAGCAAGTCAATGCAACTTCCGCAGTTACATAATAACTGCAAAAATGGCTCAAGGAGCTTTACAGATGTAGAAGACATGAGCCCAAATTGTTTTACATGTTATTGCTTTTGTCTTAAGTAGTTATCTTTGACCTAACCATGAGTAACTGCAAATCTTCCAGTGCTCGTTCCTTTACTATTCCAACATTAAGTGGTCATAGAAAGAAATGGATAGTGTGTTCCTAAGTTATTAAAAATTGCTCTTCTTGAGCAATGCATTGTTGCTGAAGTATTTTTGGATCTTAAACAAGGTGTGCAATTAGTAAAAAGTGAAAAAATATGTTAATAGTCAAGAAATTATCTTTCATTCTTCAAGAGCTTTCCTCTCCATGGAACTTCCCAAGTTTGGTTGAAGAAAAGACTTATTTACCATTTTGGAAAAGTTTTACAGGACCAGCATCCCCTCTTGTGTTGTGTCTAGCAGTTATTTCCTTTTGTCAAAATTCTCACAGTAACATGATAGATGTGTGCATGTTTTGTAGGTTAGAGACATACGAGCGGGGGGGGGGGAGAGAACACGCACGTGAGTGTATGTGTGTGTGTGTGAGGGAGAGGGAGGGGCACCAGGAGATTTACTTTCGTAAAGAGATTAAGCATCAGTTCTGAGAATTAGGATCTAATTTTGTCCTTTCTCACCAGGAGCCCTATGAGGACCAGTCAAAGGAAACATCTAGAATAAGAGTTACATAATGCCAAGCAGGAGCAGAATTTAGAAATATGTGACAATGAGAAACAAAGGTTTTTCCTGTGGTATTTGAATATCAAGGCTATTTTGTACAGGAAGTCGCAAAATGCAATGGCTGGGGGCTATTAAGAATACTTAAAGAGTTGTTAAAGAAAATTAGAAAGTTGTTGGGGGGCAATGACTAGTTGTAAAGGAAGACAAGAGCTCTTCCTCCTTTAGTCAATAGGAAGGAGGAGGAATTTTAGGAGGTACCAATGTGACAAGTTGCCTCTGCCAAAATACTTTCTTCTCTCTGGCTATTAAGGTACAGAAATGCTCTTCGTCTTTTTCATCTGGTCCTGATAGTTCTGAAACAATGAATATATAGGGGTGTGTTTTTTTAATAATTTCTAGACCGTCCCATTACTGAAGTCTCGGGGTGGTTTAACAAAATGTAAAAATTTAAAACACAGCATCCTAAAATTCAACTAATAATAAAACCCCAATTAAAACAGTCAGATCTTAAGACTGGGAAATTAAAAGGGATTTGGCCTGGCACCGAAAAGAATAAAGTGACAGTGCCAGGTGAACCACTCTGGAGAGCGAATTCCACAATTGTGGCACCACCGCAAAGAAGGCCCTTCTCTGGGTAGTCACCCTCCTAATCTCCTTCAGGGAGGACACCCAGAGAAGGGTGAATGAATTGTGGTGTGTGCCAGCAGCCATTGTGAATATATAAGCCATGGCTGGTGGGTATCGTGCCACTGCATCATCTAAACTCCACAACTGTGGATTGTTGGTATGGTTAGCAAACCAACCACAACCTTAAAACAGTCCATGGGCCGTAGGCAGTTGGACAACCACCTCAATAGCCCATCCTCACCAGGTTTAGACAACAAGATAAGTCACAGCATCTTCCTGTCCTGGCCTGAATATTCAAAATAGCCACCAGTGTGTGCATCAACCCACTGTTGATGCATTAATAAGCAACGGTGAGCTGTGGAAACCATGTAAACTGGCCTTATAGCTTAACTCCAGCATATGGAGGTCCAATTCTCATTTCAGTAATAGTCTCATTGGGTTGTCCTGGGTGAGCCTGTGTGCCATATTTATCATGAAAAATAGTTTCATGAACCACCCCTGAAAATTCTCCTGGTAATTGCATTTTGTCTGTTGCAAGTACATATATTATGTCAAACTATTTGTCCATCTAGTTCAGGGGTCTCAAACTCAACTTCCCTGGGGGCCGCTGGAAGTAGAGTCTGGGTGAGGCTGGGCTGCATCAAGTATTCCACCACTGCGGTGGTGGTGGGCCGCTCATCCCATGGCCGGCCCGGACGCCACTGGCGCTTTGAAGGCCGCAGGGCCCCTCCCCCATGCCCCGCCCATCTCAGCGGGCCGCGAGTTTGAGACCCCTGATCTAGTTCCATATTGTTTACTCTGGTTGTCATGCTGTTTACTTCCCAGAATGCCATCATTTGCTAATCGGTCCAGTGTTGATCTTCACAAAATTAGCTCAGTCCTTCTTTAATCAAAGAGCCATTGGGAGGGAGGGTAAAATGTGTAATAGGCAAAAGCTTCCTCTGTGTTATATATTTGCAGTAGTACTTCAACACAAACCAATATGTAAAAACAAAACAAAACAAAAAGAATAGGATCAACTGTATATTTCTTCATTTATTTTAAATAATCACTTGTGCTTATTAAGCAGCAGCGATTTTGGTTTCAAACCAGATCAATTCTGAAGTTCTCAAATGGGCAGCTCAGCTGAGCCAGACTGCTGAGTTCGTTTTTCTTGTTCAGATCAGTGAAGATGGGAAAGAGCATTACAAAGTGAAAAATCTCTCCTATGCAAAAAGAATTGCATCCATTGATTTCTGGCAGGGCTAATTGAGCTTTTCAAAGTGAATGCGCACACAGAAATCTAGCTGTTGAAACACTACTCATGGCTTCTTTGCAACTAAATATGCTTGTTACATTTCTACCTATCATGAAGTCATCATTGCCTCACACACCACCAACCCAAAAAGTCAGTCTGTGCTGCTCTGATAAATGCACCATGTTATAATTATGAAACAAACAGAGGTGCTTGTGAGGTTCCTGGGATACAGAGTTATGTTACTCTAGGCAGGATGAACAGATCCAGTCAACAGGGCTCCCATCACTTTAAACAGTTGTATGAAAGAAGATGAGCAGAGGAAGCTTGCCATGTTCTAGGTCTCAAAAGTAAAAACGTTGCACAAACCTTCCAGAATCCCTGACTTTATGCAGAGTTTTTCTACATATGTCCCTGCATTCATGGAAGTTTGTGGGTCCTTTACATCAGCGGTTTTCAACCACTGGTCCACGGACTGGTGCTGGCCCATGGGAGATTTTGAGGGTATGTGGGGAGGCTGCATCCTGCTTGTTGTGGACCAGCATGGGAGCTAGTTGTGCTCCGCCACCTCCTCCTCAGTTGGCATTGTGTTTGTGGGGGGTGCGCCAGGGGGCCAGAGAGGGGAGCTGGCTGGGAACCATGCTGTGCTGATTTCTTTTGTTCTTTTGTTGGTATATTTTGTTGCTCAGTTTCTGGTTGTTTTGAAGAAGTTTTTTTCTTTCTTTCCTTCTTTCTTGGCATTGTGTTTGGAAACTAATGCACAGAACACTGTAATATGTGCATGCTGCTTTTTGTTTCTGCCTCAGCAGTCCCCAAGGTGGTTTTCCTGTTCTCGCCAGTCCCCAGCTGTGGAAAGGTTACAAACCACTGCTTTATATGACACTGTCATCTTCCCAGCACCTCTTCCATATTTCCCAGACATTTTCACAGCTTTTTTTTAGAGCAAGGATAATGCAGTTTTTTCCTGGATGACACCATGATTCACCACAGAAGCCCTGCATAATGTCTAGATTCTGCTTGTACCACAGAGTCACTTTTTGTTGCATAATGGAACTTATAGGAACCAGAGAACAGTAGCCTTGGCAAAGTGCCAGGTTAAATGCCTGATGTCCAGAAGCCCAAAGTTATAAAAGTTGTGTTGTCACCCTATCCATAGCTATTGAACCAACCTGTAGTACTCACTGAGAATGCCTCCATACTCTCCAGATTTCCAACCTTGTATTATCAAACATTGTACATTATAAAGTGTCATACCTATCCTAACAACATTGATTTGCCTTCTAGAAAGGACGATCTAAAAAAAGCTGAGCTCCTCAGAGTAGCTGAAGAATGACTGATAACAATGCCCCTGCGGCTAACCTCACCACAACAGAAGCAGCAGCTGCGGGGCCTACCACGCCACGCAAGGGGCCTCCCAAGTTCAAGCAAAGGCAAACAAGACAGTTCAAGAGCAAGCCCCCGAAGAAAGGAGTGAAAGGGTAAGGGGAGTGGCTGTGACATCAAATGGTAGATTTTCTTAAGAATGCATATTCAGACACTACCATACCAAACTTCTAGTTGTTTTAGACTAAAACTTCCAGAATTCCTGACCATTGGCCTTGCTGGCTGGGACTGATAAGAATTGGAAAGAGAGGGCAGCAGTAGAGGTGTCCTCCTGCTTCTTTCTCCCAGCCTTTGGTACCCTCCAGAAGTTCTGGACTACAATTCTTCTGGACTACTAGCATCCTTCACTGTTGATCCTGCTTACTGAGGTGATGGGAATTGGTTCAGAACATCTGGAGGGTACCTGCCTGAAGAAGGCTGCCCCACTATAACTGATGGCAGTGCAATCCTGCAAGTATCTACTTAGAAGTAAGTAGATACTTGATTTTAATGGAAGTTCTTCTCAGATAACTGTATACAGGACTGCAACCCGAGTACATGTAACTGAAAAACAAAACTCATTCTTTCTTCCGGTACCACTGCTTCCTTTTCCCTCCCTCTTCCTGTTGTGCAACTATCTAGACCAGAGGTGGGAACTTATAGACTAAAACAACTGGAGGGCACAACCCCCATGTTTTCTCACCATGGGCTATGTTTTCTAGGATGCTAGACATTGTAAACCAAAACATTTGGAGGACCCACAGGTTATCCATTACTGATCTAGACTAGCCTTCTCCAACCTGCTGCCCTCTGGATTAGTTAGAATGAAGCTCCCATCATTCCTGG